AATAGTTCTGCCTTCCAATGGTTTCTGGACTCAAGACTGCAATACTGATTGACTTTTTCTGGAATTTCTAGCCTGTTGGCTTCACATTAGGTAATCCCTTAAAACCAATCTCTCTCTCTCTCTCTCTCTCTATATATATATATATATATATATGCACAGGGTAGCCTAAAGTCCCTGTGCATTATTCTAAATTACACATAAACTTTATGGCCACCCTGTATACTGATGGCATCAAAAAAATGTATACACATTTTAAGAAAGAAAAAAATATATATTAAATTGTATTAATATATGTGGTATACCAATGGTTTTTTTGTCTTGTTTATAATATTGTCTATCTCTTGTGGTTGTAGAAGTCAAATATGACTTGAGTATTACAATTTTAATACAATTTTTTTCCTTTCCTAAAATGTGTATGCATTTCATTGGCACCCTCTGTATATATATGCATCCCAGTGGTTCTGTTTCATTGGAGAACCCTGACTAATACAACACCTCTGATGACAATAATCTCCCATTTTGATGCATTAACCTGGATCTTTCAGGACTTTGCTATAGCCCAACAAGACCTTTGAGAAAACACTTGTCTCACTTTCATTACACGAATGAGGTTTGCCTTGTCAAATGACCAGGGGGCCGGTAGCATGGCCCACTGGAAACTGGGCTCCTGAGAGTTGCAACTGCCTGGAATTACAGGCTTCTTTAGGATCTGTAGCAGCCTTAGGAGATTGTTGCTTCCTGGTGTTAACTACCTCTTAGCTGTATGATTTCTCATGTTAAATTCTCTCTGTTAAAATATCTGATGTGGTTTCTGTTTGGACTCTGACTGAAACACATGCTTGATGATGCCAGCCATTGATATCATCTGACAAATTCTCCTTCTCTTTCTCATACACACACACATACACACACAATCATGCTTATCATACAAGTTTCTGCTTAGAATTTGGCTTCTCACATAGGTTTGCCTATGGAGGGACGCTATTGTTTCAGTAAACATGTAATTACTTTGAGAGCTGTACTTTTCATTATAAATGAATATAGTTGGATGCTGGTTTTTGTACATCAGTCTCTAGAAGCCTTATTTTGGCTGTGTAGATATATCCATTCCTGGGACACTGACAGTGAGTTTCCTGCTCTCACCTATGGAAAGTCCAACACTGAACACATAATTCCATCAGAGCAATAATACTTGACTGGCTGACCAATTTCCTCTCATGTTCTTCCATGATTTTGTTTTGTACCATTTTTCTTTAAATAGCAATAGCAATGACCCCTTTCTGAACACACTCTGATTCTTTCTTTTCATTTTTCTCCAAATGAAACTTCTCTAGAAATGATCTGAATAAAACCTTCCAAGTTAAGATATAAACAACCAATACAGCTAAACTACCTCATCTCAGGGGATATTTTAATTTCATTTGCATTGTAACAAATCACGAATTTAAATCAAAGGGATTAAACCTTGATTTTAGAATCTCAGAATTCAACAATCTCCTAAGGCTGAGGGAACCAAGGGAAAAGTTTGATGTCATCTGAATTTAAAACCTGGAAGAAGGGGCCCTGCAGAGCTGTGACTCAGACTTCTGAGGACGGGCCCCTGACCAACTAAAGCTGGAACCTTCTTCAGGATACAATGAGATTAACTCTGGGAATACAGAAAGACATTCCCCTGGAACCACCTGCAGCTACCTGGTAAAGGACAGTCACAAAACAGCAAACAAAAGGAAAAACAAGTGTCTTCTGCAACTTCCCCTCCCCCACTTTTAACACCTCCTAGCATCCATGATTGTCGTACAGTGGGAGGAGGTAGGAGAGAGGTGGCTTCCACTCCCCTGCTCCTGAAAAGCATGCAAACAGATGCCTTCTTTAGCTACTCTTTAAGTTGGCTCTAATATAAAGCCACGTTCATCTAACACAGTTCTTGGCGGTCTCTTGGCCAGACCATAACTGATCTCCTTCTGTCTCAGGCCACAGTGAAGCACCTTGGGGTAGGCCACAGGGTACCTACACATCTCATAACAGCCTCCCTTGTAAAGCTGAACAAATATTTGCCTCTGCCTTACAAGGCTGAGTCATGGCTTGGGTTTGCATATATTCATGTGCTTCTGTGCCTCTGCTGCTCACATTAGTGGCTGTGCCAATATCCTGGCTGGACCGTTGGGCCCAAAGCAAGCAAGAAACAATAGTCGTCCCAGTCCCAGTGTATCTGAGGAGACTGATGTCCCCAGGCATTCTCTGTGAGCTTTCATAGCCAGAGACAGCTGTGCAGAACCAAGACTCCATGTCCTCCTGAAAGTTTACCTGGCATAGCTTCTAGATGTTTTTAATATTCAATCCAGATGCAAGAAATTATATCCAACTCATATCTTTGAAAACCAGATACAAGGACATCCCACAGAGTATAACCCCAAGTAATAAAATAATAACCGCAAGTAAGTTTTAATAATAAACTAAAGTTTAAAATGCATTTAATGAGAAAGTACTGGAGGGAAATAAAAGAGACCTCATTGAGAGACTGAGGACTCTTCCCTACCCTAGGGTTAGCTGTGCATTATAAATGAACTTGAGCAACTGGAAAAATCTTTTCAGATTACCATCTTCTTGTGTGCAAGATGGTAGAGTCTGAAGTTTTTTCTTCTTCTTTTTAAAGTTTTCATAATGCTGTCTGCATTGTTTGTTAAGACTGCCATAGTAAAGTGTCCTGAATGTGGTGACTTAAAGAAATTTGTTTTTGTGTTGCAGTTTGAGGGGCTCAAAGTATGAGATCAAGGTTTTACAGGGTTGGTTACCCCTGAGGGCTGTGAGGAAGTGATCTGCTACCTGCCTCTCGTCTACCCTCCCAGGGTCAGCTGGCAATCTTTGGTGTTCCTCGGCTTGTAATGCATCACCTGCATTCCTCTCTTCCACATGGAACCCTCCCTGTGTGCATGTCTTGTTTCTGGGTCCAAACTTCCTCTTTCCAGAAGAATAGTCATATTGGATTAGGGTCTACACTAAAGATCTCACCTTAAGTTGATCATCTATAATGACCTGTTGAAAAGTAAACTGAGGCACAACAACATTTTAAAGAGTTTATTTAACAAAGAGCCATTTCTGGGCTGCTCCAAGCCAGAAGAAGTTCAGGGGCTCCATAAGGAAACACAAGACAGGGCAGGGGGCCTTTTACAGGACAAACACAGAAGTAAAGCAGAGAAAATACTTAACTGGTGACAGTTATACAGTTGCCTTACTTAGTGTATCCATTTGGAGAGCTTCTGTTGGTTGAGCTTAAGTTCCGTTTTTCTTCAATATAGGCATTTACAAAAAATAACTCAAGTTACAGTCTGCTTACTTTTGCAAGTCAAGCAAAATTGAGGTCATTTTATAGGGCCAAACTGGCTTTTTCTGCTCAGGGATCCTGCAGGGGCCTGTCTTCGCATTAAGTTACTTTAACAGACCCTATTTTCAAAAGAGTTATACTCACAAGCACTAGGGGATGTGACTTCAACATCTTTTGGAGTACACAGTTGAACCCAGAACATTCTCTGACCCCAGATTCTGACCATCCCCACCCCCACAGCTGTTGGACCGGCCTCCTTGTCTCTGCTGCTGGCCTCTCTCTGCTTTTCCCTTCTTCTCCCTGGGCACAGGAGAGCATGCACGCGGAGGGTGGGCAGAGTCCAGCACTGGACAAGTTACTTTGCCTCTCTGAGTTTCTCTTTGCTCATCTGTAAGATGGGGTGATAAGTTTGCTGAGAGAAGTCTGTGAGATAAAGCAAAAGAAGACTTGGCTGGTACATGGTGAATGCTCAACAAGTTAGAGATATTGTTATTATTTATTCCTTTGAGTCAAGAAGAGGACCAGTCGTGAGTCCTAACCCTGGCTGAACACTAGACACATCTAGGGGAACTGTTTCAAAACTGGGGCCCAGGCTGCACTGGAGACTCTGACTCAGTTGGTCTTGGATTGGATCCAGGCACTGATATTTTTAGAAGCTCCCTGGGTTTTTCTCCTGTGGAGCCAGGATTGAGAGCCACTAGAATAGATGTTGGGATTGAAATCACTCATGGGAAGTCACAGAGGCTGAGGTGTAGCTACTTAGCCAGATGATCTGTGTTGTGGGAGAGGCCTGAGCTCAAGCTGGAGAGACAGTTCTGAAAAAACTTGGAGAGACCTAGTTTTCAGGGCTGTAACTTGCATTGTGGTCTCCGTGTGGCATTTTCTCTGGGCCTCTTTGATGAGGGAGCATCCCCACTGAGACTGTTGCCCAGAGCCTGCCTTTCGCCTCCTCCCCCAAAGCCTTGCCTGCTTGCCTGCTTGTCTGCCTCCCAAACACAGGTCTGGGGCACAAATCCTCAGTGGGAGCCAATGCCAGAAACAACCTGCCTTGCCACCCTTCCTGGTATTTATCTACCTTTCAACAGTGCACAGCATGGAATTCAAGGAGTCCTCCAGGCATGCAACTGTTAGACACCCAGGGACAGACTTAGGGAGTGGCCTTGCTTTTTCCACCCCAGAAGGTGGGAATTGGCTACTTGAATTAAGCACAACCCCCAAGGTCCTACAGTGCGGCTGAGAGAGATTTTATTTCACAGAATAACTCTCTCCCTCTGTCCCCAGCACCAGATATGTAAGTGTGGGCTCTGGACACAGCTGTTCTGGCAGCTGTGGGAGTGACCAGCCTAGCTTTGGCCAGTTCTGGCCACTTCTATAGGTGGCTCTGGGTTCCCAGACTCTCAGCTGCTGGCAGCTCGTCCCCTCTCCTCTTTCTCCAGCTGCTCCACCTCTTCTCCAGCTGGTGGGCTTCTCCAAGCCTCGGCTTCCTTACAGCGCCACCCTTGTCCACATCAGACACTTGCCACCCACCCTCCTCAAAGTCCCAGGGTCTCTCCAATCCTCGGAGAGGGCCAGGGATGCTTTCTTAAGTGAATGAATCAGTAATAGAAATAAACTCATATGTAAGCAGAAGCAATAAACTCTCTTAATTTATTACTATGACGAGGTTAGGAATGTTCATTTGCTTTTCGGCCAAATTAACAAAAGTGTAGCAACTGAAACAAAGGAGAGGGTCTTTTTCTCCACCCTGATATGCTGTGCTGGGAGCAGTGTGTTTGGTTGGGTGCTCTCCACTTCTTTGATTTTAATTGAGAGTATCTCAGAAGAAAGGGCAGCTGGAGACAGCCCTCTCTTAACACAAAGAGTTGAGTGTTTTATATTCATCTGACAAGTGACTCGGTGAACTTTGATTTAACTGTGGCTTTCACAAACTCAGAGGGAAAGGAAATAAAGTCCAGGACAGGGAAATACTTTTGCTAAACCCAGAGGCTCTGCATCTGAATTCAGCTCAGTGTTTCCTACCTAGGCAACCAGCTGCTTTCTGCTGCTGGGATCCGGAAGGGGAAATGAGTTCCCTGAAGTGGGCCAAAGCGGGGAAATGCTAACCGCACAACGTGAGAGCAAGGGCTCTCTTGATTGCCCTGAAAGGGTTCCCATTGCTGTTCCAGACGGAACTGATGCAGTTAAGCCCGAATTTCCTGGCAAGCGCAGGGATAGGTTTTTCCAAAAGGCATTTCAGACCACGAATGCACAGCTTTTCTGTGTCTAATCACGAAAGCAAAGCACTAGACACATACTCTCTGTTTCCAGCTGGTTGTGTGTGTTTTCTTCGCACTTTAACAAAAAACGTGCCAAGGTGTGACATTTATGAACCCCGCCAACTGCGAGCCGTGCACACAAATCCACCCTGCCTGTGGTGTGGGAAAGTGATGAATGGGGGCTGTTCTGCCTGGGGGGAGGGCTGCTGTCACTCTGGCGAGCCTGCAGCCTTATTTATTACACTCCAAAGTATAAAACCACCCAGCCGCTGCAGCTCTTGTCTCAGCCCTGGCATTTGCCGGAGGAGACCACGTTCCTGGGGCCGGCGGGCTGTCTTCTCCTGGAGGCTCTGTGGCCCAGAGGAGAACCATGCTGGGGAGGCAGCTCATCCATTGGCACATGCTGGCTTTGTTTTTCCTCCCATTTTGCCTGTGTCAAGATGAATACATGGAGGTGAGCGGAAGAGCTAATAACGTGGTGGCCAGAATAGTGCAAAGCCACCAGCAGACTGGCCGTAGCGGCTCCAGGAGGGAGAAAGTGAGAGAGCGGAGCCATCCTAAAACTGGGACTGTGGATAATAACACTTCTGCAGACCTAAAATCCCTGAGACCAGATGAGCTACCGCACCCCGAGGTAGATGACCTAGCCCAGATCACCCCATTCTGGGGCCAGGTACTCAGAATTCTCTTCTAAGGGTTTCTGTAAAAGCTTAATGAGTTTTGTGGCTGCTGTATTTTCTGTTCTCTCTTTGGCTGGGATTCTGAGGACGATGCTTTCGGGAAGTCCGCTAGGCTGCTTGTGGGTCTTCTCTGGATTGCTCTGGGAGATAAAGGGACAGCCAGTCTGAAAATCAGCGGAGGCAGCATGATGTGATGGGGCTTGATTTCTTTCTCACTCTGTTGATGAGGAAAGGAGTGCTGGCCTAAACACACAGATAACCATTTGCCATTCTTGGGAGAATTGGACTATTCTTAATCTTTTCCAGCAGAGAGAAGCTGCCCTTTGAGTTTGTCAGAAGTAATCAAAGTTTTTTGATGTGTGAGTTTACTGTGACATTTCAGGCCAGTTTTGTTTATTTCATTTATAGCATTCTAGGATGTTAAGCCTCTATGTTCAGCCTGTTTCTAAAAGAATTGAAGAGTTAAATCAAAAATAGACTGTGTATTTAAAATATAAACCTTATTGTGTAATTTTTTTGCTATGCTTTAATTATTATAGTTTGATTTGATGCCTGATAATCACAGAGGATTTCTCAGGTTATAAGCTCAGCAGCTAAGGGAATATCTTTAACTCTTTTAGGGGAGCTTGAGAGTGAGTTAAGCTTTCAGTATGGTGAATTGCAAATTGGTGACACTCAATTTAATTTAGAACATTACAAACAGGAAGAAAGATTTTGACTTACATTCTGGACATTTAGTATCCTAAGAACACATGGAGGAGGCAAGAAAGTTACTTTGAATTAAATGATCTTTGAATAAATAGGTTTTACTACAAGAATTGATAACTTTTAGGCATTATGTAGACCCTAAAGATCACATTTATTTGAATCCTAAATCTCTCCTCCCATGGATTGAGAAGTTTGGGTTGATTATTTGATTATCTGTGGAAACAGATGCCGATCTGGGCTAAGCTGGGACTTCTAATTTGAGCGTATGATGCAGTTGCTCACATCATCCTGTGAGGCGGTGTCAAGAGAAAAATTACTTTGTTAAGGAACCATGGAAGAAAAAGTAAACTAGAAATGATCCCAGTTTTTTTTTTTTTTGAAAGCCATTTCTAGAGACTGTCCATTCATCTGACAACTTTTTGACTTTATAAAGGATAATTAATCCTACTTTGTATTCTCCTTAGTGGTGAAGATATTTTCACTTTTGTCCAGGACTTGATCTGAACCTACCGTTTCAATTGATGGGTCCTTCCTGGCCACAGCATCATGAACCCCAGAGAGAGCAGAAGGCAGTTAGTTATAGGTTTCCACCAGGCGTTATTTTCTGGCAACCAACGCCTAGTTGGCAACTGAAATCCAAATCACATTTCTCCTCCACCCTTCCCATCCTGTTTCCTGAAGTATTTTCAAGTAAATCCCAACAGGAGAGCTGAGGAGACTTAGAGTCACTGATATTCTATAGCTTTTCAATGCAACTCCTCTGCCAATGGATGTGAAGACAGATTGAATTTAGGATTGTTCTTCCTAAATTCTTCCTTCTTTGTCTACTTCCCCTAACCCTCTCCTTTCATCTTAGTTCTACTTTTTCTTCATTCATTCCTTTCCCAAGTACTTCCTGGGCTTCTAGTTTATGCCACACTTTGGGATGGGGACCAAGGGTATAAAGGCAAGGTGCCTGCACTCCCGTCTCCAGTAGGGGTAAATTTTTGCCAATTAAATTAAGCTTAATTACATACCATGTGATAATAAAGGCAATTAGGAAAAAGTGTCAGATAGTTGTGGTCTCTGAGTTGGATCCTAAGAGATGAGACAAGAAGAATGGTTACCCACAGCAGAGATTTAAAAGAAAAAATAAATGTGCCACAGCAGAGACTCAAGAGAGCCACAAGGAGTTGGCCATGGCCAAAGTTCTGGGGCTGTGTGGGGGGTGGGGGCCCATCATACCGTGTTAGTGCCAGGCTGAGAAGGATTCTGCTAGCTGGCTAAGGACCTTAGGCTTGGCTTTACTAGCAAAGACTTTATGTGTCTGTGCATAGCAGGGTGGTGAGGTAATCAGAGGTGTGTTCTAGAAAGATAGCTCTGGCCATGGTTCATGGGGAAGCAGAGTGAGCTGAGAGCTGGGTGGGCAGACCTGGAGTCCCTTCCCCTGGCATTTTCTTCTCCAAAGCCTCTTTGACTTTCACCTTGATCGATCTCCCTACTCCTCCTGCACATACATTCATCTTTCTTGTCTCTCTGCTTTGGGTTAAAGAAGGAGCCAAGGACTCTCTTTCCCAGATGTCACCTACCAGTAGCAGACCTCAGTTCTAGGTCACTACTCCCAGGCCCCCATCTATAAAAGGGAGGGAGCTTATTGTAGATGTACCCTTCTTTCCCGTTGCAAATGTGCATGCCTTCAGTGTGCAAATTCTACCTGATTTTGGGAAAGGCTGATAAACTCATGCGGGTATAATTCTCTCTTACCTAAGAAAAACATCTAGATTAATTTATCCTGTCCAGCTTGTTCTGAGAGTCCAGCAAGAGACTCACAAGCTTTGTGGCATTTGGGTGAACTTTGAAAGACAAGGCCAGAAAGGAACGTGTGATGAAATGACATAGTAGGGCACCCAGAAGATACCTGAATAGTAGTGACCAGAAGTCTCTCACCATCTTGGTGGCAGCTCTGAGCTCCTGAAGCGCCCTCTAGTAGCTTGAGCATGTATCCCTCAGTCCCAGCAACAAGCTGCCTCGTCTGTCTGCTGAGCTAGTAGCTTCTTGTGCTCAGATACTAGGCTTTGAAAACAAAGTCTTTCTAAATTATTACTTGAGGCTTTGGAGAAGAATTTAGTATTTTGTTTGCATCATAGAGCTGGAAAGAAGATGCATGGCCATTGAAGGAGTGAAGAGGGGAAGTGTCTCCCCTTCATACCCTGAAGCTTCCCTGAAAAGGAACTGAGAAAAGGCAGATTAGTAGGAGAAAAAGGCACACAGATGTAACATGCACAGTACGGGAGTCACGTGAGAAGGATGGCCCCCATAGCCCAGCAGAGTACAGATGCTTACATGGCCTTTCCCACGGGGATGGAGCAGTCAAAGACAGAGCTCCTCTGAGCCCTGGGAAGGTGAGACAGAACTTCACTGTAAACAAAGGCTGCCTTTTTATGCATAGAAAGCCTCCCTTGTAATCTCTCTGCACTGCCCTCAGATAAACAGATGGAAAATCTGTCTGGGCCTGGTGACAGCTTCCAGTCTCCTCTGGTGGTTGATCTTTCCTGGTTATTTGATGAGATTTCTAAGGAGGAGGTCTTAAGGCAGTGGTATCTCTCTTGGAAAGAAATGTTCTTAGTAAGATTAAGGAAATTCCAGAAAGAATTTCTCTTTGATGCTCCTGGAAAGAGGATCAGAAAGACAGAGAGGCAGGAGAAGATCAGAGGGAGACCTTGGATCTGAGGCTCCTTCTTTCCTCCCTCCTTCCTTCTTTTCTTTTCTTTCTCTTTCTTTCTTCCTGCTTTCCTCCCTCTCTCCTTTCCCTTCTTTTTTTTCTTTCTTTTCTTTTCTTTCTTTCCCTCTCTCTCTCTTCCTCGCTTCTCTCCCTCCCTCTCTTCCTCGCTTCCTAAAGATTGGCCATAAGCCAGACCCAGAAGTATGGCAGGATTGCGAAGCCCTACTTTCACAGTCCACATTCACACTGAAAATCAAAATCAAATGAGCTTTTGCTCTTCTGTTCTGTGGGATGTTTCTATGATCCCTGAGCTCACCTTAGAGCTGAGGCTTATTTCTGGGACTTTTACATTTTTAAAGCACTCAGCATGCCACAGCTCCCTATTCTGGGGGTCTCTTTCTGTGCCTCAGCACCTTCTCATCCAGTCCCCTGATTTAGCAGACAAGAACAGACGAGACTTCTCTGAAGTCATGCAGAACTGAGGTGAGACTGCTGCTTCCAGTCTGGCGGCCTTCCCAACATTCTTAAGCATCTCAGTGTTTCCACTCTGTTCTTACACAAATGGTTCCACTTCAGGATTTTCCCTCTGTCTCCTCCCTTCTTCATCTCGAAAACTCATTACTGGCAGCACTGGATTTCTGGGGTTTGAAAAACTGTGTTTCACATTAGCAAAACCATCACAGGAAATATGGACACTTACTTCTCAGGTTGCTTGTTTGGATGAGCATGTGGGATGGGGCTGTGGGGACTTTGGCTTTCCGAGTATCCTGAAGTGTCATCTCAGAGTGATTGCATTAGTTGATTTTCTTTACCAATTTGACAAAAGGGTACCGGAGACTCTTACCTGTCTGTGCCTGGTAAATGGAAGAGGAGACTAGTAGTTAGCTCTAGATGATGGCTCTGGACTTGGGCTCCAGTGGTTGCCGGAGTGCGTCGGGACTGCAGACGCTACTCAGGGTTTTCCTGGAAGAGCTTGGTGGAAAACTTTAGGAAAAGGGATGAGAGAGTGAGACAAAGTCCAAGCCAAATTTTGATTAAAAAAAAGTAAAAGTAAGGTCAAAATGTGTAACAATGTAAAGCCTCGTCCTAGTTTTTTCCTTGAATTTCTAGTGATGAAGAAATCTTAAATTTTGTGGTTTTTTTCTTCCCCTCTTTCTCTCTCCTGTCCCTTTTCCTTTCTCTCCTGCTCTCTCTACCTCCCTTATCTGATGAACTGCTTAGCAACAATTTGCTATTTTTTTCTTTTTTGCCAAGCTGGGTTGGAACCCGCCACCTCCGGCATATGGTGCTGGTGCCCTACTCCGTTGAGCCACAGGTACTACCCAACAACTTGCTGTTTTTAAAAGAGCATTGAATTATGATTGTTATCTAGGAAAGTTTTTGCAGCCATTTTATATGAGATAATTAAAAGGCAAATTGCTGGCCAAGCTCCGTGGCTCACGCCTGTAATCCTAACACTCTGGGAGGCCAAGGCAGGTGGATTGCTTGAGTTCACAAGTTCAAGGCCTGGGCAAAATCAAGACCCCCCATCTTTACTAAAAATAGAAAAACTGAGGCAAGGGAATCACTTGAGCCCAAGGTGAAGGTCACTGTGAGCTATGACTCCACAGCACTCTACCCAGGGCAATAGCTTGAGACTCTGTCTCAAAAAAAAAAAAAAAAAAAAGGCAGATTGCTATTTCAGAAGAGGGTTCAAATTTCATAAGCAGCTCTAACTCTCCCGCCAATCACCTTCCACTAGATCTCTCACTCCTTCACAGTAAGCACACATTTTAGAAATTTATCTCTGTATAAACATGCACTTAACTCATCATATTTGAGCAGATTTCATACCCATTAAGTGCTCCTTAAATATTAGTTCAAACAGTGGGAGTACCATTTTACCTTTGAAGTGAAATGTGTGAAGTAGAACTCCCGTTAAATTACTCATAAAGAAGAAGTAAACGTTGATTCCAGATGTAGATACTAAATTAAAAAAAATATTTCAAACTTATAGTTAGTAACAAGTATGGTATTCTTGAAAATTGCTAAGAGAGTAGATTTTAAGTGTTCTCACTACAAGAAATTACAAGTGCGTGAGGTAATGTGTATAGTCATTAACTTGATTTGGCCATTTTACAATCTGTTCCTATTTCAAAACAACATATGATAAATGTATGCGATTTTAGTTGCCAATTTAAATGAATAAATAACTGTACACATGTTAGACTAAACAATATTTTATTTCCCTAGTTTCCTATGGCGTGTAAGAGTGTTATCACTGTTTGAAAAACCAGTGTTTACAATTCAGAGTTTACAAGAACTCTTAATCCAGCTCTCAACTCACTATCACTCACATTGTGAAGTGGATAATTCTTGGCCATTTGAGGTCATCTGCTTAATCCAGACACATCTGAGGCTACTTGCAATTGGGAGGAGAGGAAAGGCTCCAAGCTCCCTACTGAAGGATGTCTTTCCTTTGCTGTCACAGCAGCAGGAAGGCACTTTCTAGAAGTGCTATCCCACCCCAAGCTCCCACCCCAAGCTCTTCCACTGACTTTCCTGCGGGCTCTTCCTGGGATCACTGACTTACCTGAGCTAGTCCCTGACCCTGTGTCATGGATCTCTCTTCCCCAGTCCACCTTTTCGGATGTCATCGTGGGTTGATTGGAGTTAAACTTACCTAAGGGCCAAGGCCAGAGCAAACTTAAAAATCCCCATTGTTGCCAAGTACTTTCCCCTGAAGCTTCTCTTTCTGTTTTCTTCAAGTCTCCACCAACTGGAGGGCTGCCCCCAGACTGCAGCAAGTGTTGTCATGGAGACTACAGCTTCCGAGGCTACCAAGGTCCCCCTGGGCCCCCAGGCCCTCCTGGCATTCCAGGTAAGGATGAGGGAGATCCAGCTGCAGACTGTGCCAAAATAGGAGGCAAGGGCGCCCCTGAGTCATGGGGTCCCCTATGTGGGTGTGCCAAGGATGTGCATGGAAAACTGAACAGGAAGAGAGCTGGGTTGGGGAGCGGGCCAGGCCAGTGTAGGAGGGACAGTATGAACAGTCTTTATCCTCAGCTCTAGGCTCTAGGCACCTGGGCACCAGGTTCACCAGTACTGAGTCTGAAACTGTCTTAGGGACACTGTCTTAGTTCCCTCATTTCTGCTTTCTACAGTGTGCTTTCTACAGTGGCATCTGACTTCCAGAGGTCATAGGAAGCCTGGCAGGGTGGAGGGGACATTACAGTCTGGTTGCAGTCATCTTCATGGGGCCATTCAGTGGGCTGTGTGTCCTTCTGTGTGAGTCTCGGTTCAGTTAAGCTTTCCTTCCCCCAGCGTCAGGTCTCCACCCACCTATGCAGCTGCCTCTCAATTGACTCCTGTGCAGCTCCTGGCTCATGGAAGCATTTGTTGGCTCCAGCACCTCATGGTGGCCCAGGGGATGATCTGGAGCTACCCTGGGCCCTTCTATACCCACCATTGACCATCTCTACTGTGCTGGTGTTTCCAGGCTCAGAGGAGTCCTGGGAGCCTGCTCCTACCCTGGGTTAGAGGAGGAAGGGGCATCCCTGGCCCTGTCTATTCCAGACTTATCTGGGGTTTTTTGGTCCTCTTCCTCCTCAGGTCAATTTCTGGGGGTAGGACCTATGTCCGAGTTTGGCCAAAGCTCATTTGCTCTTCTCTGGCTTACCTCCATTGGTGTTAATATTTGTCAAATGTGGTTTATTTATTTTTTTTCTAATTTTAAGTAGCTTCTCTCACAAAACCAAATTTATAATTAGAAAATCCTCAGGCTTTGAACTGTGATTATGGGCTATGTTATTGACCCGCCCACCAAGGGTCACAGTCAGCAGGAGCAGTGACGTCAGGTGGGGGATATTTAGACCCTTCTCAAATCTCCGAAGGTCTTAGCTCTTCTTTTTTTTTTTTTTTTTTTTT